AAAAAAAAAAAAAAAAGAAAAAGAAAAAGAAAAAGAAAAAGAAAAGAAAAGAAGAGAGAGAGAGAGAAAGAGAGAGAGAGAGAGTTGTGTTTAAACAAAGCTACAGTCTCAGTTTTCCCATCTTTCCTTCAGAGCTTTATGACACATTCTTAAAGCAGAAAATATAACACGGTTGTTCTCCTTGTACTCTTCCATCACCTCTGCTCTTTTGCTCTTGTCTCTTCCTCTCATCAGTGTTGGACTCTGGGGGCTCTCTTGGTGTCTCAGTATAGGGACAGGATGAGAAAACCATCAGTAAAAGCAAACGAGGGTAAAAAGGCACAAGCCAAGGCCAACAGCCACCGCCCCTCCCGCGCCGGCAGATCGAAGGGCTCTCATTTCTGTGTCGCCTCAGCCCACCAATTTTCCTCCCGCCAAAGCTGAGCGCTCGCGAGCAGAAAGTCCCCTTGTCTGATAAACAGCTATTACACCGCCTGCCACATGGAAAGGTTAAACCGCAGTCTGAGCCCCAGACTCTGAGATCCTGGGGTGGGGCCTGCTGTGCTTACTTACAGGGAAGATCCCCTGCTAAGTCCCCAGGCCCTCACTTCCTTTCAGAAGCAGCCAGAGCATCTAGAATCCCACCACCAGTGTGAAGCTGTGTGCCATGGGTCCCCTCCTTCAGCTGTCCACTGTCACCCTCCTCAAATTTGGTTCACCTCTTCTTCACTGTAGGTAGAGTTGGGGAAGGGATGACAACCCCACTTCCCCACACCCCCCCCCAACAAGGTTCTTTCCTCTGCATGCCGGCATGCAGCTGCTCCTGCATGCATGCTGCTTCCGAGCCAGGGGCAGGCAGCCGTTACTCTCACGTCGCCTGTGCTCTCTCCTCCACAGTCTCTTCTCCCACAGTGGGCAAACCCTACAAGTGCAACTACTGCGGCCGGAGCTACAAGCAGCAAAGCACCTTGGAGGAGCACAAGGAACGGTGCCACAACTACCTGCAGAGTCTCAGCACTGAAGCCCAGGCTTTGGCTGGCCAGCCAGGTGGGGCTGTGGCGAGGACCTCACGGCAGCGGAGGGCGGGGCATGAGGGCGGAGCGGAGGGCGGGGCATGAGGGCGGAGCGGAGGGCGGGGCCAGGGGCGCAGGCGAGGGTGACTCTGGCCCCTCAGTCAACACAGGCACCCATTCCTAAGCACCCCCATGAATGCCCAGCTCTGGGGCAGTCTATGAGGGAGATCCAGACATAGAGGAAATCTGGATTCCTATCTTCAGTCTAATGGGAAAGAAAGCATAAAGAATAGAAGATCCAGGGGTAGGTGTGTATAAGTGCCCTCAAATGGTCTGAAGGGTTATCAGAGTTAACTTTAGATAGGGCAAAGAACCCATAGTGGCCCATGCCTTTAATTCCAGCGCTTAGAACACAGAGGCGGGTGGATCATTGTGAGTTCAACACCAGCCTGGTCTGCAGGGTGAGTCCGAGGCCAGCCAGGGCTGCATAGTGAGATCCTATCTCAAAATAAGGAGAGAGAGAGAGAGAGAGAGAGAGAGAGAGAGAGAGAGCTAGAAAGCCAGCCCAGCTTCCCAAGTGTGGCCTTTCTTGACTGGCCAGCTTTCTCCAGGCAAAGGCTGCAGGTGGTGTGGGGGGGGGGGAGGGCGCAAAGCCACTCACGCTCAGCTGCTACCACCTGCCCCTCCCCTCCAGGTGATGAAATGCGTGACCTGGAGATGGTGCCTGACTCGATGCTGCACTCATCATCTGAGCGGCCAACTTTCATCGATCGCTTGGCCAACAGCCTCACCAAACGCAAACGCTCCACCCCACAGAAGTTTGTAGGTAAGGAGAGCCCTGTTGGAAAGGAGACCCCAGCTTTAAGCCGTGGCTCCAGTCAGTCACAGCTTTGATTGCTATTAGACCAGCGGCTTGGGTCTGCTGATTGGATTTAGCGGGGAGAAGCAGCCTAGTGGTCTCTGCGGTGCCCAAGAGGGACGGCACGCTTCTCAGACGCCCTCTCAGATGGGATATCACTCAGTCTGTGGCATGTGTACCTTGCAAGTATGACCAGTGGAGTTTTCAATCCCCAGAACCTACATAAGAATACAGACATGGTGGCATGTGCTTGTAATCCTAGCCCTGGGGAGCCACTGGCCAGGGCAGCTAGCCTAATTGGTGAGCTCCAGGTCAATGACAGATCCTGTTTCAAAGGAGGTGGACAGCGGCGTTTCTGAGGCCGACACCCAAGGTTTTCCTCTGACCCCACATTTATGTACACGTAAATACACATCCTCCAGCACAGAGATGAATATGCATTCATGCACACACACATGAAAGACAGAGTAGAGAGCGGTCGGTATTGAGGACTCACGGGGGAGTCGAGATTTTCCACCTTTGAAAACAAGGAGGATCAATCTGTGTGGGCTGGCCTTAGAGTCGGTGAGAGGAGGTGAACATGTGGGTCCCTGACCTGCAAATGAATGCAAAGGCATTCTCTCGCTGAGGATCTGAAACTTCATAGAGATGCCTTGCCCTAGACTCCAGCTTGCCTCGGACCTGACCCTCTGGGAAGTAAATGAGGTGTGGTAAACCATGTTACCTAGGACTACGGGTATAGCTCAGTGGTAGAATGTGTGCTTAGCATCTGTGAAGCCCTGGGTTGGGTCCCCAAAACTAATTAATAGTGATGATAACCATGCTGTTAGATGTTGGCCCCATGGTTAGAAAACAAAGAAGGAATTCTGGGCATAAGTTGGGGGCTTAGTCAAACCCAGTCCTCACGAGATCTTACTCTCCCCAGGCGAAAAGCAGATGCGCTTCAGCCTCTCAGACCTCCCCTATGATGTGAACCCCGGCGGTGGCTATGAAAAGGATGTGGAGCTGGTGGCGCACCATGGCCTAGAGCCTGGTTTTGGAGGTTCTCTAGCCTTCGTGGGTACAGAGCATCTGCGTCCCCTCCGCCTCCCACCCACCAACTGCATCTCGGAACTCACGCCAGTCATCAGCTCTGTGTACACCCAGATGCAGCCCCTCCCCAGCCGCCTGGAGCTTCCAGGGTCCCGAGAAGCAGGTGAGGGACCCGAGGACCTGGGAGACGGAGGTCCCCTCCTCTATCGGGCCCGAGGCTCTCTGACTGACCCTGGGGCATCCCCCAGCAATGGCTGCCAGGACTCAACCGATACAGAGAGCAACCACGAAGATCGGATTGGCGGGGTGGTTTCCCTCCCTCAGGGTCCCCCACCTCAACCTCCTCCCACCATAGTGGTGGGCCGGCACAGTCCCGCCTATGCCAAAGAGGACCCCAAACCACAGGAGGGGTTATTGCGGGGCACCCCGGGCCCCTCCAAGGAAGTGCTTCGGGTGGTGGGTGAGAGCGGCGAGCCTGTGAAGGCATTTAAGTGTGAACACTGCCGCATCCTCTTCCTGGACCACGTCATGTTCACCATCCACATGGGTTGCCATGGCTTCAGAGACCCTTTCGAGTGTAACATCTGTGGTTATCACAGCCAGGACCGGTATGAGTTCTCTTCCCACATTGTCCGGGGGGAGCATAAGGTGGGCTAGCGACCTCTTTCCCCTCACCTGCCCGCAGCCCGCCATCCACTGCCCCACTACAGGTGTCTAGCCAGATTCCTATTACACCCACTGGCCACCTCACTTCACACCTGACTCTGACCCTCTTCGCCGGTTCCCTTCTACCCTGACTGATTTAAGCACTGCGACAAGACCAGTCTTTTGCTTCTATTTCTCCTTCTAAACCCCTCTCTTCCTGGCATATTTGCTGTTTATTAATGACTTTTCCTTGGCTTTTGAAGACTTAGTGCGGTCTCTGGCCACTCCTTCACTCTACGGCCTGTAACGCCCTTGTTTTTTTTCTTGTCGATCCCACATCCTCTGACAGCCCCAGGGCCTGGAAGCTCCTCTCTGTACTAAGGGACTCCGAGCTTCTTGCTTTAATCCGTACCCTTACTTATCCGACTCTTTGGATGTTGATACCTCCCAGCGGCCCACCTGAGCTCTCTGGCATTCTTATCTCCTCTCTGGGACCCTCCGACCTGGTACTTCATACCTCTTGTGCCCTCTCACTTTAGGCAGCTTGCACTATTCTTACACGAACGAAGAATTTTCTCATTGGAAGTAGGAGGGCTGTAGAAACTCTCCAGGAACTGTGGACTGAGGGTCCTCTTGACCTCATCTGGGAATATGAGCTCCCTAAAGCCTCCATTCAGGATCTCCCTCTCTCTGGCTCACCCCCCACCACACCACTCTGGTCTCAACCTGCCAGGTCCCTCACTGGTGGCTTTTCTCTTCTTGGAATGCCCCCATTTTATACTCTCAGGGGCTAAAGCTAGGTCCGCAACCCTGCCTGACACAGGGAGCCTAGCTGAGAACCAGGGCACAGGAAAGGGGGTGGGTAGAAGTCTCTCCTCCACCCTTCAAACTTGTTCACTCCAGTGACCTTCCTCGGCTCTCAGGGACTCCTGCTGTCCCCGTTGTATGAGAAACTGGTGGGTTGCTGCCCAGCGACCAGGGGCTCAGCCCCATCCGTCACGCTGCCTTTTCCTCTCCCTTCCAGCAGGATCCACCATCTCATTCCCAGGCTCCTGGGCCCTCTTATTATCAGTGGCAGGGAGAAAGGAATGTTTCTTTTCTCCCTGCTAATTTTCAGTGTAACCAAAAATTGTCCCAGGATGAATGACATGCATGTGCCCGTCGACCAATCCACCCTTGTTCTAGCAAGAATGGTATGGACTCAGCTAGCTGGGAGCCATCCTTCACTGCCCTTCCATGCTCGGCCCCCGACACATGGCACGAGGGCGCTCTTCTCTGGTGGTTGCAGAGCCCCTGGCTATCTGGATAATCGAGGATTCATGAGACCATGCAGGAGAAGTCATAGCCCCACTGCACGTCTCTCTCTATAAAGAGTTCCCTGCCAAGGCCACAGCCATCCCAGTCTCTGCTTCTTTGAGATTCAAACCAAAGGCTGTTTTTCTATGTTTAAAGAAAATAAGAAAAAAAAAGTAGAAACCAAACACAGCACCTCATAAGTTATAAGTCTTGGTCTTCTCTTCCTCTCTCTCCCTTCCCCTCCATCTTTCTTTCCACATGTCCTTCCTTGGTTGGCTCTTTTGCCTCTCTCTACTTTTCTCATTCCCTATTAGGGACATGGAGAGGCATGAGAGGGTTGGCTAGATCAGATCCTGGGACTGGGGCTCTTAGCCTTCTGGAGATGCTACTCTCCCCATCATGAGAAGGGTGGGATGGAAAAACTTCCTTTCTTCCCTTCTTCTCCTGTGTTACCATGGCTTCCCAGAAGGGCCAGACTGGCAGGGAGGAGCTTTGTGGGGTGGTTCTTCCTCCTTGACAAAGTAGCAATAAACAGGTGCTGCCAAAGGTGGAGCCTGGGGTGCGAGCTCCCAAGGGAGTGGTCCCAAGAGAAGGGAAGGGTCTTTGCAACCAACCTTGGAACGGCAGCAGAGCTGAGGTTAGCATCTGAGCGTCTCCTGTGCTGTTCTGGCTACTGAGCCTCTTCCCACTAGACCTGCTCCCACCACTTCTGTGTCTGCCATGTACCTGGGGATACCTCAGAAGGACTAGTTCCTCTGGGGCATCAGAGCCTTTCAGCGCCCCATTTCCTCCCTTCCTCAGTCAGCCTTAGCACCTGTAAACCCCAGAAACCTGAAGGACTATGCTCCGAGGCTGTACTCTGTGCCCCCAAAAGCAGAGATGGGAGGACAAGACCAGGTGCTAGGGAGGAGAGAGACACCCCGTCTCTCTCCAGCCCATCACTGCACTTTAACCAGGGTCTTAGGTACAAAATCCTACTTTCCAGAGCCTTCCAGCTCTGGACCCTCAAACATCCTCATGCTCTCTCCCAGCTCCTTTTGCATAAAAAAAAAAGTAAAGAAAAAAGAAGAAAAATCAACAACAACAAAACACCAAAACCCACACAGAGAAAAAGAGGTGTTTTCTTTTTTATTACTATTCAAGAAAACAACACCACAAAAAAAGTGGGTGGGGGGGAGAATTTCTAAATAGACACTTTTCCAGACCTTTGTGTATGTGTGTGTCAGTGTCTAAGCTGCAGGTGGAATTTTGTAATACTTCTGGCAGCTTCTTTCCTTGTGTAAATAACATATATATATATATATATTTTTAATCAGAAATTATGAAGATCAAAAATAGAATAAACACAGAAGCAAGTGCAATACCACCTCTCCTCCTCCCCCAGGTTCCTTTGCAGCCTGTTTGGTGTCCCTTTTGACCCTTGCCCCTTCACCTCTTCTCTCTTCGTCCGGTTCTTAACCTATCCTCCCCTTCCCTCTTTTTAAAGAGTTTTCTCCTTCCTCAAAAGGAGTTAAACCAGCTTTTGAGACTTCCTGCAAAGCATTTTATATATGTAATATACTGTAAGTAAATATTTGTGTAATGGAGAAATACTACTGTAAGTTTTGTACTGTACTGGCTGAAGGTCTGTTATAAATAAACATGAGTAATTTAACAGCTCTGTTTCTTCCTGGAGACTCCCTTTGCCTTGCTTTCCTTCTGGGACAGACTTCATAACACTATTTCTCTGTTCAAGATACAGACAAGTCTAAGATTGAGGGGGAACCAGACAATACCACTTAAGTTGCTGGTCTAGCAAAGCAGAAGATTATTTTTGAGACAGAGTCTATGTGGCCTGGCTGAGCCAGAACTCACCGAGATCTGCCTGCCTCTGCTTCTGGAATTAAAGGTGTGAGCCATAATGATAGACTTGGATTATTAAATTTTTTAAGATTATAATTTGATTACAACATTTCTTCTTTCCCTTTCTTTTTTTAAAGATATATTTATTAATAATGTATACAGTGTTCTGCCTGCATGTATACCTACAGGCCAGAAGAGGGCACCTGTTCTCATTACAGATGTTTGTGATATACCATGTGGTTGCTGGGAATTGAACTCAGGATCTCTGTAAGAACAGTCAGTGCTCTTAACCTCTGAACCATCTCTCCAGCCCTCTCTTTTCTCTTTCTTTCCTCCAAATCCTCCCTGGTTTCTTCCAAATTCAGAGTCTCCCTTTTTTCTTATCATTTTTGTATGTACATATGTACTTATGGATAATATATATGTATAGATGCATATACATATTCCTAGATATGGCCTGGTCAGTCTGTATAATGTTACACGTATGTATGATTCAGGGCTGACCATTTGGCACTGGACAACCCACTGGTGTGCTCTTCCCTGGGAAGGACCACCTCTCTTGCTCCCAGTTTCTGATGTGGTTCATAGGCATCACAGCTTGGTAGGACTCTTAGTTGACGTCCTCCTTCAGAAGCTTGCCTGGTGCCTTCTTGTCCTATGAGAGCTGGTCCTCAGGGAGGAGTTTTCAGGGCAGCTCCAGCGCAGGGGTCTCTGGACCCTTTTTGAAGTGCATGCTGTCTTCAGCAATAAGGACTTAACCTCCAATGGGGCGTCTCTTGGACAGCTCTGTCCAACAGTTCAAAAGAGGGGTTCTCAGCCGGGTGGTGGTGGCGCATGCCTTTAATTCCAGCACTCGGGAAGGAGGCAGGTGGATCTCTGTGACTTCAAGGCCAGCCTGGTCTACAAGAGCTAGTTCCAAGACAGGGTCCAAAGCTACAGAGAAACCCTGTCTTGAAAAAGAAAAAAAAAAGAAAAGAAAAAAAGAAAAACCATACACATGCAAAAGAGGGTTCTCTTCTTGTCATTGTTTAGTATTGGGCTTTTGCTAGATGGTCTTCGAGGGAACATCCTCTCTGATGAGAGTCATTAAAATACATATGTGCATATTTATACAGGGAGTTATGTGTATGATAGGATTTCGGGTAAATAGTTAATAGTGTGATTCCTACGGCATTTCCAAAAATCCTTCTTGTTATTTTACTCATTTCCCTCCTTCTTCCATGTTTTCCTCCCTCCCCTTCCCTAAAGAGGCTCCCTTTCCCATTTCCCCTCAGATCAATTGTATCCTGCTGTCCCCTTCCTCCCACCTTCTTCTGTATTTCCCTCCCTCCTCCTCCCCAAGCAGCCCCTCCTTTGCTGTTTCCTTGATCAGGTCACTTGTACTCTGCAGCAGTCTTCTCTACTGCCTCCAGTCCCCATGTCCCGGCAAGGGTTCTGCTGCACCGTCCTGATTTCTGCTCTAGGATCTGCGCTCACCCTTGAAGGTTAGAGCTAGGAGCTTTCTCCGTGGGTGAACTTTCAGGGTCTGTGTTATCTCATTCAACAGGGCCTTTTCTAGTTTCATCCCTTTACCTACAAAGTTCATGATTTTCGTTTGTTTGCTTGCTTGCTTGTTTTTTTTTTTAACAGCTGCATAGCATTCCATAGTGTATATGGACCACCCTTTCGTTATCCATTCGTCAGTTGTAAGACATCTAGGTGGTTTCCATTTTCTGGCTGTTGTGACTGGAGCAGCAAGGAGCAAGGCTGAGCAAGCATCGTCAGAGTAGGATGTTGAGTCCTTTTGGTATTCACCAAGGAGTGGTAGCTGAGTTGTATGATTTCCATGGTGGCTGCACCAGTTTGCAGTCCCACCAACAGTGTATGAGGGCTCCCCATCTCCTCCAGCGATTATTGCCCATTGGTCTTTGCCATTCTGACTGGGGTAAGATAAAAATCTCAAAGGTATTTTGATTTGTATTTCCCTGATTGCTAGGAATGATGAACTTTTTTTTGGGAGGGGGTTGGGTTTTTTTGTTTTTTGAGGCAGGTTTTTCTGTAGCTTTGGAGCCTGTCCTGGAACTAGCCCTTGTATGTCCCGCGCTACCGCAGGACACTTAGGATCCTTCTGCAGAAAAGCTTTAATGCGTCTTGTGAGAGACCATAAGCTTACAAAGCTGAGACCCAGAATGAGGGGAACCCATCCCTTATATAGGAAACAGTCCTCGCTTCGGACGTGTCACTCTTGGATTGGTCTGCTGCCCATCAACCCAGATGATGGCTCGGGAGTAGGCAGGGACGCAGCAGTGGAAAGTTACCAAGCACATGCTCATTATAGTCCCACTGTCTCTGCCTCCCCAATGCTGAAATTAAAGGCGTGTGCTACAACACCTTGAGGTCACAGAGGTCAATCTCTACCTCTATCCCTTGAAGTAATGGAGAATGTGGTTGCGCCCTCCACCATCTTCCCCTTTTTTACTTCTTTGCAGAAAGGCAACTCCCTCAGAAGGCAAAGATAGAGGTCGCACTTCCCAGAGTGAAAACATTATAATGGGCTTGCACGGAATCTGCCCCTAGGTTCATGACACCTGGAACTTATCCGGTCTGCCCTCTGCCATTTTTCTGGGAAAGGGAATATACGGCAGGAAACCCTTATGCAGGGCAACATATCTCTCAGAGAGGGCCATTCTCTGTGCGATGCTCTTCAGCTCGACAACCTTCAGGGCTAGCTAAGCCAAGCACTCCACCCTGTGCAATGGACCACTGTCCTAGGGGTGCAGGAGCTGGTTGGCATAAACCTTACTGCTTCAGCATAGATAACCACACATCAGTAGAGGCTCCCTGTTCCAGGGCAGCCAGCGCTTGTGCAATAACCACTTTGTCTCTACGGCTTTGGGATTTGAGTCGGCAGACCATCCAGAGGAGAAACACTATTCCACAGCATAGGGCTGCTCCAAACATTCCCACCCCCACCCATTCTTTGAAGTAGGAGATGAAGGACATAATCCAGGACTGGAATCCTTCGGCCAAGCTTATGTCCACTCGCGTGGAGTTGATTGTCACGATGGACTGTCTCAAGGAGGACAACAAATCATCAAAATTCTCGGTCCAATTTTCTGCAAGATACAAAGACAATTCTCGGGACAGGTTAGCCGCTTTTGTAAAGTTCTCATATGGTACACTGGTCACACACAAGGCTGGAGTTTTCCATGGTATGGGCCGTGCTGCCCCAGTGGCGCCTAGGAAAAACCCAGGCCCTGTTTGTTGATATTAGGTTTAGGATTTATTGGCTCCCGTATTCCTTGCTTGGAGCGACCCAAGCCCTTTCTTGGCCTATGGCCCATTCTTATCATTATATCTTGGGCCTGAGATGAATATTCATTAGATAAGGTCAATCACATACCCTGCATCACGTCTCTTCCCCATAAGTTGACTGGCAGGGGGAGGACATATGGTGTAAAATATCCTGACTGCCCTTCGTCTGTTTTCCAGGTTAATCTGGTGGAGCTAATGGTGGGGCTTGCACTGTAGCCCAAGCCCTGTAGGGCATGAGACGACTCGGTAATGGGCCAGGACCGTGGCCACCAGCGCGATGAGATAATACTTTTGTCCGCGCCAGTGTCCAAAATGCCTTCGAAGCATATACCATTGACCCAAAGGGGCAGTTTGGGTCGATCTTGAAGGCTAACAACCAAGTAGGCCGAATCCTGTCCTGTTGACCCCATTAATTTATTCTCCGGCCTCTGGTGGATGTCTGCCGGGAGAAGCAGTAACTGAGCTATCCTGTCTCCTTTACTGATGGAAAAAACTCCATCAGGGCAAGAGCATAGGGCTTGTATTTCAGCAGTGTGCTGACTATCAACAAGGCCTGGGTGGACAATCAGTCCCTGTAGGGTAAGCGAGCCACGCCCTAAAAGCAGGCCCACGCTTCCAGGGGGTAGGGGCTCAGGCAGCTGCACAGGGATGGGCTGTACCCCCATTTGGGGCATCAATAGGAAGTTGGTGGAGGCATGCAAGTCCATTCTTGTTCTGCCTCCAAGGGTCCCTCGGTCGTTGCCCTGACGAACTTGTTCCCATATTTTTGGGGGCCCTGGGACCGAGGGCCCATCATCCGTTTTTTGGACCATCAGTCTGTGGGTTTCCTAATGGTGGAAGGATCTTGCCATGGATATCCCTAACGGAGCGGCAGAGCTCAGTCCTATGATAACCTTTACCACAGCACGAGCAAAGGGTAGGAGGCGCTCTCTCCTTTTCTGATGACCTACAATCCTTTTTTAAATGTCCTGGCTTCCCACATTTAAAGCAAACTCTTTTGTCTGGCCCTTTAAAAAGGCGTTTTTGTGACTGCAAATCTGAAAACGGCTCCTGAGTCCCTTGTATAATTTTGGTGAGTGGAGTGCTCTTTTCTCCCTTTTTTGACAAGGCTTTCCATGCTCTTATAGCTGTATCGGCTACCTGGCGGTAGGCACCATAAGGATAGTTTGTCTGGGCGGCGGTGAAGCGCCCTCGACCGGTCAGGAGGTCAAAGGTCCATTGTTGTTGCTCTGGAGTTAAGGCCTGAGCATTAGCTCTGGCCTGTTCCTGAGCCGCCTCATGCCACAGGGCTTTCCACTCCAAATATTGACCCATGCTGACAAGCGACACTTTTGTAACTGTCTCCCAGTCAGCCGGAGTCAAGGCAGTCAAGGCCAATCTGTCCAATTGGGCTAAGGTAAAATTAGCAGTCACTCCATACTTCCTGACTGACTCTGCTAACTTTTTTATTTGGTTGTACTCCACAGGTGCATGCACCCGCCCGTTCTCCCCTTCCTAAAGGGGGAAGGCCAGGTGCAACT